TGACTTCAGTTTAAGTAGAAGCCTTTTGTGTGGGACTTTATCAAAAGCCTTTTTAAAATCAAAGAAAAGGACTGATACCAGAAGCCCTTTGTCTTGTTCATTCGTGATATCGTTGAAATAATCTAAGAGACATGTATCACACGACCTGGACCTCAAGAACCCATGCTGTGAGGTCGATATCAGATTGTTACTAACTAGATGTTGTAGTAACTCTGCCTTGACTATTTTCTCCATGACCCGAGATACTACCGAAGTTATGTTTATAGGTCGGTAATTTTCAACGTTCGCTGTAGGCCCCGATTTTATAGTGGGGATGATATGTGTAGTCTTCCAGTTATTAGGGTAACACTCTGTGGAGAGAGATATAGTAAATAGTTTGAGAAGAATAGCACTCAGATCATTGCTACCATTTTTTAGCATGCTGGCAGGGATGCCATCTGGTCCTTCAATGTAACAGTGCTTCAGTGTACTAATCGCCTTAGAAATGTTCTGTATACTAAATTCAACACTGGCGATTTCACAGGAAGGAGTTTGGGTCAGATGTGACTCATTTATTGAGTTTTCGTTTGTTAATGTGGCACAAAAATGTTCGCTAAACAACTCTGCGATACTTTTAGGGTCTTCATACACTTGATTGTCCTTAATAAATATGCTCCCTCCTTTCACTTTGGAGCATTTGAGTTTATTCCGAAGGAGTTTTATGAGTTCAGAGGATTCCCTGTTCAGCTGAACAGCACGCTTTACCTGTGCGATTGCCTTTTTAGTACGTGTTATTTCTGCCTCGACACATATTTCAGTCATCGTTACTAATGAGGAGAAGTCATTACAGTTATGAAATCTGGAAGCATGTCTTCGAAGACGTTTTCGTATATGACGTGGCATAAATAAGTCCTTAGGAATCCTGGGTCTCCAGGATTCTAAAGGTGCAAATTTGTTGAATATGCTATTTGTGTTGTGATAAAATACATTCATTAGTTCGTCAATATTGTGTGCGGTAAAGTAGTTTGTCCAGTAAATGCTTCTGAGGCAGTTACGGAAGTTTGACCAATCAATCCTACGAAAGTCCCTACGAAGTGTAGTGGATTTATACTTTATAGTTGTAGCTCCTATATCAAGGCTGCATATGACCATATTATGATCGCTACCTGGGAACTTTTTTCCAACATATACAGTGTGAGGAATGAGATTGCTGGTGAAAACCAAATCCAATGTATTTTGATTTCTGGTTGGGCCATTGACATGCTGAGTCCACTCTCCAAGCTCTAAGCATTCGATAAATGATTCGAATCGTTTAGGTGCTTTGATTGGGAACCAAGAGATTTCAGGCATGTTGAAGTCCCCACAAATAGCCTTGCTTGTGAACGGTAGGGATGAAACAAATGTGAATACTTCTGACAATAATGCTAGATCTCCTGTTGGTGCATTAGGCTGTCGGTAGACACAGCCGAACAGTAAGGAAACGGCATTTGACGGTTTCAGAACGATCCACACAGAGTCTGGCAATCTATTTAGTTCAGATATATCACATAAGAGCGAGTTTAGGCTAGAGTGGGCATATATGAGGCATCCTCCACCTCTTCCTTGTAACCTATCACTTCGAAACAGATCATAGTTTTCAAGAGATATAGTAAGATTAGAAATATTACTACAGGTCCATGCCTCAGTTATCATAATAAGTGATGGTTGACAGATAGTAGCAAACATGACTAGATCTGTCTTTTTATTACAGATTGAACGAGCATTAATAAGACATATATTAAACAAATGTCCCGCTAAGCTAAAATAGTTTAGGGTATCTTGGGTAAAGGAGTTACTATGATCTACGTGAGTGTGGTATGAGGAGTTTGGGGGGACATGCTAAGTAAATTACTGGAATTTACAGGAGGGGTTGTTAGCCCGGGGGAAAGGGGGAGAATGTTGTCTGTTTGAGATTGTGCGAAGAGCGTGCTTTTATATTCTGTATGTGGTATGAAATGACTTGAGCTATATGTCGCGCAAGAGGTACCACAAGTGGCTGTATCCCGAAAAAATTTTGATTCGGCTGGAATTGCAGTTCACCACCGTTTCTAGTAATGTCTTGATGACACAGCTCGTTACTAAGGTTAAGTTTATACGGAATGGTTTTAACTTGGGGAGGGTTAGCCATATACGAGTGCCAGTTGCTATGGGCTTTTCTAAATCTTCGGTAGAATTTGAGAGCAGGGCATAATCCTGTCTAACTGGTCTCAATTCCTTATTGTCACAACTTATATAAAGAACAAACTTCCTCTTGTTACAATCAACTAATATAGTGCCCTAAATATTGGGTTGCATCGGCACCTGAACTAGTGATACGGAGTGAAACATCTGTGCATGTCGATGGCCCAACTTGTCTCGGGAGTCTCATCAGTGCCAATAGTCTGGTGTCTGACGAAATCTCAGCACGGATACTTTACGTTCGACTGGCTTTTACCAACTTGTGTAGTTTATGGTGTAGGCCAGATATCCGTTTACCAACCAAAGGGCGAGTGTAATGTGCGGTAGTTCTCTACGTCCTACTTTATTGCTGTGAAACATGGCCAGTCAGAGTAGAAAGTATTCGTAGGTTACTGGTTTTCCATTATCGGCATCTTCGAATTATTGCTTGTCCAACCTGAGACTATTGAATAGGCAGTACTGTTGTCTGGAATCGGTACCTGGTTAAGATGGAAGATCAACAGATAAAGTAATGATTCTTCATCGGTTGGGGTGGTTGGGACATGTGTTACGAATTCCCGACTGTCTCGTCAAGCTATTTTCCGTGGTGTAGGAATAGGTTGGAAGAAGGATAGGGGCTGCCAAACCAAAACAGCACAAATCCATGAAGTCACTGACAAGTGGACTGAGTCATGTCGGTAGGTGTTGACTACCTGGTTGAGGTCCGCGAGACGAAAGACACCAATGGTTAGAGACCTTCAATGACATGTTACAAAACTTTTCGCAATGGCACAGATGCATCCATCCTTTGTGTTCTATCAAATCGTAATCTTTTGAATTCCTCATAACCGTTTTCGCTGCTTTTTTAAGTGATTTGTCTGTGGTATACACCGCGAATTCTATATTACATGATTAATCTTTCTGATTACTGCTATTACTTCTACAACCTATACTACTATGGGATTTGAAGTGACAGTTGAGTCCACGTGCTAATGTGGTATGGCAACTTGAACTGATGTACGTTCGTAGTAAGTTCTGCTATGTAACATTCTGACCGACTGAACTTCTAAAGGTGGCCGACACAATGAGCCTTCAATCTACCAACTGACAGTATTCCTTTCTGGAAAATCAAAGGTAAGGGATTCTTTGGTATGTGACGGTCTATCAACAAACTTCCTTTATACCCAACAGTACGGTTTTAGGAAGATGCATTTCTGTATAGGGTGTTGACTGTGTTGGACAGATAAATAGCCGCCCTTGATAGCAAATTAAGGATAATGTGATTTATGTTGACCTATACAAATTTTTTGATAGTTTCATTCAAATATGTCTTATTAATAAGTTGAAGCTGAAATGAATCAAGCCCCTTTATCGTACTGGACGAAATTAAACCACCAAGTGCCTCTATAGCAACGTAAGACTGAGGGGTAAGCTGTTAGAAATAAGGAATATGTGCTCTCAGATAGATTTGAAGATCATAAACCTAACTGAAACATAGCTGTCTCCTGACCTTGCAGAAGAAAGACTGAACTTGCAAGACATGACACTTCCGAAGCGATGGGGTACATCAGACAAGAGGCGGAGCGACTATATATATAAACAGCCATTTAAAAGCCCAGCGGCTGTACGGCACCCAACTAACTGAGGCAACAGAATCATGCTGTTCATTCCTCACAAATGGCAGAAAATACTTGATAGGATGGATTTACCGGCCTCCCTCAGGTACTAAGGCTCAGAAAGATAATCTGACTAAGGCAATACTGCAACTGCCACTAGTGGGGTTTGATCATACACTATTAGCTGGAGATTTCAACACTCTGCCAACTCCCATCTGAATATAAACAAGCTTCGCTCTCTCCAGTCTTCAAAGGAGGTGATAGAAAGGACCCAGCCTGTTACAGACCAAATGCATAACACCCTTCCTATCGAAGATAATGGAAGGGCTAGTGAACGAACAGATGAGAAGGTACATGGGTTAGAGTAAAATACTCCATGAAGCTCAACACGGGTTTTGGAAAAGCAGATCGCGCGCATTCAGTCTCCCCACAGGATAGGATAGTTGAACAGCCTGCTGAGACCGAAAAATATTGGTGCGCATAATACTGCTAGACTCTGAAAAAGCGCCATCCCGGTTTGATAACCACTGGGAGTCTCCACACCGTCTCGAACTATGTAGAGGACGCAGTCAAGACAAACGTAACTCTTCATTTTGTGCGGAGAAAACTTGGTGCTATCAGCCCTGGATTATTCTTAACTCTGTTTAAGACACATGCACTCCCACAACTTGAGTTTCACTACGTCATTGCACTACCTCTCCTTAAAAGATACAAACATACGGATTATCATCTCTCTCGTGGTAAAGCTGTGACTGACACTTGCCTTGAGACATTCTAGTCAATACTATGAACGTCTGCTTAGGTCACCAACTTCCTTTATCCTGCCTATTATCTTTGTTTTCTCTCCATTACTTACATTTCGGTCCTCTCTCACAATCTTCACTGCCAATTAAAAGACTGCATTGTTCATTTATTTACTTATACCAGAAATCTTATTCATATTAGCATTCGAATTGCAACTAACTGATTTCTGGCATGGTAATATGATAGCTGCTGGTATCCAGAAACCCTACTGCCCTGAAACAAAGGTACTCATTCAAATCACGGGACATCCAAACTCACAAAAAACTGTCAACTGACTAGAACTAGTGCATTCCAGTGTCTAGACCCTCATTAATTGAACACTATCAAACACATGAAACCGTGCCGAAAGATCAAGAATCGAACGCTAGGAAATAAATCGGTCTAATACTAGATCGTGAAGAAGATATTGGATATTGGATTTAGCGCGTTCAATAAGACGCGCGGTACGCGCCTTATTATAAATGTTTGTTAGCAAATTTACTAAAGGACTATCTCTTTGTGAAGTATTGTATTATCCTGTTAGATGGAAAACCAGCAAGGGAATACCTGCAAAAATGACTTTGGATATCCGAAGAGAGCTTTTCGAGAATGATGATCGGTGGTTCCGAACGAGACTGCCTGATTCGACTGAAGAGGTTAGATATTCCACTCTTCTATTTTATTGACTCTTCTTCACCATAATGATCACTGGTCTCTTTTTAAATATGGGTTGCGAATACTACTTTTTCATCCAGTTATTGTTACAGTATCTGCTTTTAGAAAGGTAACACTGAATTCCACTTTCAGTAAGTATAGAAAAATTCACTAACCAGAATCTCTAGCAATTTCAGTCACTTATAACATGGCAACTTGATGTTAAGCTTTTGTCCAGAGGCGACTTGAAGGACAAGAAAAATGTGGATATGTTAGTTCCATAATCATTTACTAATCCTCAGAATGTTATAATGGTGTCACCTTGGGTTTTTTATTGGTATGGAAACAAATCCAACTCATAAAATCGTTATTTGAGACCAACTTGTTTTATAGACGAGAACTACCCATTTCTATAGAGGGTGAACAGTGTCATTTAAGGTATTAAAACGTCTGTACGAGTAGTTCAGTGGACTCCAGTCTTAGTCCAAGAGTTTCTAAATCTTATCGGACTAGGAATTTTCTCAATTTTATGTTTTTAATGTTTTTGAACTTCGTTGTCAAATAGTTATAGGAGATAGTGTGCAGTAAACTATAAAAGTCAAAATATTCAATCCCTTCTGTCATTCCCTACTAACTAGGACAGCTTGTGGTCCAGACTATGCACATTTACGCTCAGCTCCCAGCTTACGACCAATATCTTTGTCTATTTATCTCATAGTTATGGATCGCCAAATGTGACGATTCCAAAACCAATCCACCATAGTCTGCCTCTACTTCACTCATAATTATGTTCGATGTTACTCTAGTCGAGGCCAGTGTTAAGTTCTGGATAATTGGAACACTTTAAGGTTCGGCAAACCGTTTCCTAAAGGGTTCTTCTGGTTGCTACAGTTCTATATTCTGGTTATAAATTAATTACTAGTCATCCTTCGCATTGGTTTGACTGATTTATCATAAATTATTTCTCTTACGTGACTAAAAGTTGTCTGCTGTTTCTGGTTGCTGGTGGCCTTAGCGCTTCCTTTACTTGTACAGCAGTTCTGATAGGCTTTACGCTACCTCTGTTCAGATTCCGCTAGGGTTTCTTTTAAGTTGTTCTTACATGACTAAATGTGTCTCTGGGTAGAATTCTCCTTACGTTGCACATAGGTGTCTTCGAAGCATTGCTCGCATATCCTGGGACACCCGAGTGAGCAACACTGTTATTAGAAAACGGGTGCTAGGTAAGAATGGCAGATCAATAGATGAGGTAATGAAACTTCATCAGCTAAGGTGGTTGGGACATGTGCTGCGTATGCCTAACCACCGACTGCCTCGACGAGCTTTGCTTTGTAGTGTAGGAATAGGTTGGAAGAAAGCTAGGGGCGGCCAGACCAAAACATGGCATAAATCCATGAAGTCATTGACAAGTGGACTTAACTATGTCGGTAGTTGTCAACTACCTGGTTGGGATCCGCGAGATGATAATAATCGATGGTTAGAGACCTTGAATGACATGGCTCAAAACCGTTTGCAATGGCGCCGGTGCATTTATTCTTTGTGTTCACTCAAATCCTAATCTTCTGAACTCTTCAACACCTCTAATTTCGACTTTCTAAACTTTTCTCACTGAATCATACTTCTTGAATAACATCTAATCCTAACCTATCCGATTACTTCTAATACCTTAACTACCTCTTCTACTATTGGATTTGAATTGACAATTGCATCTCTGTGCTGATGTGGTATGGCAGTATGAACTGATGTACTTACGCACGAAGTTCTACGTCGCATCTGACTGACTAACGTTGCACAAAGTACCTAGCCATTTTCTGCCTAAACACCCTTCTCGTTTTCATCTTCAAGGCATGTTCTAAAAGGTCCTATGGCTATAATGCTTCTCAGTTTAGTGCAGCGCGGACACGCAGGCTTTGACCTTTTCATCAAATAAACATCTTTCTATACCAGATTCCCTTGGAGAATTAACGACTGATTGATATACGGATATTATTGTAAAACCCCGACCGAAGCTGCTACCTTGACGTGATGGTCGGGCTTGTCTACCGTGATGACCCAACCGAGCTATATTGGCTGGAACTTATGTTCCTGAAGGTTCTACCATGCCAGGCAGGTCGATTGGAGAGCGATGAGACTAAAAGCAGCTACCCAAGGTCTGAGGGCGAAGTCGTACTGCTGACTGCAGAGGGGTGTGACAGCAGTGAGGTGTTTCCCTCGGATAACCAGCATGTGCAGCGATGCTGCCTTCTCACAAGGAAGGAAGGGTTAGAAAAGGTCGACCCTAAAAATGTCACACCTCACCTTACCTCACGGATTTCCGTCTCCTTGGGTAAGGGTGCCCACTAAGGGCCTTTAAGAGCGGAGCCTCAAGCAGTTGTCCTTTGGGCTCTGCGGTCACGCATCCAGGTCTCCAAGACCAACACTAATCTATCTTTCTTTTCAGGTCCCTCAGGAAACAACTTTCCACGGTGTGGGCAGGCAGGAAGTGACAACCGCCCTCATACCCGTAACAGCACGAGAGACCAAATTGGTCAAAATCAAATCCTTCCTACACCCCCTAATACCTCTCTTATCTCCACGACTAGCTCTTCTCACATTCATTTATCACATTGCACTGCTAATGCAAACGATGCGAGTTCGCGAAACGTCGTTTCTGGCTTCCTCAAACCCCGTTCTAAACTGCATGTTGGAGCATTTAATGTATGGACATTGTCAAATGGGGCAACAGGCATCATTAGCTAGGACTTTAGAATCTCGTGCCATCGATGTATGCTGTGTCTCGGAAACGCGCATACAGGATCCGAGTAGCATCATTCACTTGACCTCGCCATGTCAAGATAAAGAAGCCACTCAATTTACCCTTCGTGTATCCGGTAGCCCTGATACTGCTTCCAGGGGTCTCGCTTGTGTAGGTATAGCATTGAGTCGTAGGGCAGAACAATCTCTCCTTGACTGGATCCCAGTAGATAGTCGCTTGTGCACCGTCTGACTAAACGGGACAGTAAGTATTCGAAAGGATAGGGACAATCGCCGTTGCCTCTTCGTCGTATCTGCCTATGCCCCCACTGACTGCAGTTCAGACGACGTGAAAGATGAATTCTACAGAAAGCTTCCGGACCTCTTTCAAAATGTTAAGCGCTCTGATGTAGTAATAATGGTTGGTGACCTTAATGCTCAAGTAGGTAGACTAAGTGAAAATGAAAGACACCTAGGTGGATGTTATGGTGTCACGACTCAGAGAACAGACAATGGTGACCGTCTGTTGCAAGTATGCTCAGACAACGGAAGTCAGTGGCAGTCAAACCAAAACATGGCAGAAATCCATGAAGTCACTGACAACTGGATCGAATCACGTTGGTAGATGTGGACTACCTGGTTGGGGTCCACGATATGATGGTGTCGCGGCTCAGAGAACAGACACTGGTGACCGTCTGTTGCAAGTATGCTCAGATAACCGCCTATTCTTAGCAAACACTAACTTTAGGCATAAGGAAAAGCATCTGTTGACCTGGCGACCTCCAAGGTCGTCTCAACGTTGGACGCAACTAGATCACATTGCCATCAGCCACCGATGGAGGGGTTCGATAGAAGACTGTCGCTCGTCCTGGGGCACATGTTTAGATTCAGATCATTCCCTAATGCGAGCGCGTATTTGTTTGAATCTTAATGGACGTAGGAAAGACACCGTAAGAAAGCCTCAGGGTTTTACTTAATGATAATAAGGCGAAGAATATATTTCAGGAACAACTAGAAAGACAGTTAGGTGACCATTTAAGCGATTCCCATCCGGAAGCAGGATGGAATGATATCAAAAAGGCTGTGGAAACAGCAGTGATATCTGCTAGTAAGGTTAACCACAAGGCTACAATGAAGCCATGGATCTCAGTAGCATCCACCGAACTGATGGATGCTCGAAAACTCATCTCACCTGGCTCTGAACATAAAAAGCCTACGTAACGACCGCGAGCAGTGGTGTGTGGCGAAAGCAAGAGCGATGGAAAAGGCAGCGGCGATAGGCAACACTAGGCAACTATTTAGACTCATCAAGGAAACTGGTATTAGGAACCCAAATGTGAGTGAGACTATCTCGGAAAAGGATGGTCTTATTATCCATTCTCAATCCAGGAGACTGGACCGATGGACAGAACACTTTAGTAATCAGTTCACCTGGCCTCGAGCCACACTTCGGTTGCCCACGATCCCCAGTCATCCTGAATGGCCAATCGATTTAAGTCCTCCCAGTCTACATGAAGTTGAGAAAGCTATAGGAAATCTAAAGCGAAGACGAGCAGCAGGTCCTGATAGGCTTACCGCTTAGATGTTTAAGGATGGTGGTCCAGTTTTAACAGTTAGACTGACCGAGATCCTAGGTAGAATCTGGGGACGACGTAATCCCATCTGACTGGTCTCAGTCGCTAATTGTCCCAATCTACAAGAAAGGAAAAAAGTCCTCTTGTGACAATCACAGGGGAATAAGTCTAACTAATATATTATCTAAAACATTGGCCTCGATTATACTTAGACGTCTAACTAGAGCTCATGAAGAGCAGACTCGAGAAAACCAGTCCGGTTTTCGACCTGGACGTGGTTGTATAGACCACATCTCCACACTACGACAGGTTCTGGAACAGAGACACACATTTAGACGTCCGACAATAGTTGTGTTCCTGGACCTAAAAGCGGCATTCGACTCAGTGGATCGTGAAGTTCTGTGGCAGTGTCTGTCATTGAAAGGTGTACCAAGGAAGTACATTAACCTTATACAAGCTCTCTACTCGAACATCACTGGTCGGGTGAGAGTATATGGCGAACTGTCATCTGAATTCTCTACATCATGTCGTGTTCGTTAGGGCTGTCCACTCTCTCCATTCTTGTTTAACTTTGTAGTAGACATCCTCTTAGAGTTAACATTAAGCTCGTCAGATTTTTCAGGGGTTGACCTTCTACCAGGAAAGTCGCTTACTGATCTAGAATATGCCGATGACATAGTTCTATTCGGTGAAGACGCTGAAAAAATGCAGAGTCTTCTGACTACCCTAAGCAACAATGCAAGCATGTTCGGGATGCGGTTTTCCCCCTCGAAATGCAAAATGTTGCTTCAAGACTGGGTTGCATCGGCACCTGAACTAGTAATAGGGAGTGAAGTAGTTGAGCGTCACTTCACTTATCTTGGGAGTCTCATCAGTGTCGATGGCCTTGTGACTGATGAAATCTCAGCGCGGATACAGAAAGCTCGATTGGCTTTTGCCAACCTGCGTCACTTTTGGCGTAGGCGTGACACCCGTTCGCTAACCAAAGTACGGGTGTACTGCGCAGCAGTTCGCTCCGTTCTCCTATACGGCTGCGAAACATGGCCGTTAGGAGTAGAAGATGTTCGTAGGTTACTAGTATTCGATCATAAATGTTTAAGAAGCATTGCTGGTATATCGTTGGACAACCGAGTAAGAAATGCTGTTGTTAAGAAACGAGTTCTAGGTAGGGATGGCAAATCAATAGATGAAGTAATAAAATTTCACCAGTTGAGGTGGTTGGGATATATGTTACGTATGGCTGACCACCGACTGCCTCGACGAGCTATGTTTTGCAGTGTTGGAGTAGGTTGGAAGAAAGCTAGGGGTGACCAAACCAAAACATGGCACAAATCCATGAAGTCACTGACAAGTGGACTGACTCATGTTGGTAGATGTAGACTACCTGGTTGGGGTCCGCGAGACGAAAGTCATCAATGGTTAGAGACCTTGAACGACATGGCTCAAAATCGTTTGCAATTGTGCAAGTGCATCCATTCTTTGAGCTCTCTCAAATCCTAATCTTCTGGATTCGTCAGCACATCTACCTTTGTCTTTCTAACCTAATCTCAATGAATTATACTTCTTGAATAATATCTTCGAACCCTAGTCTTCTTCATTACCATTAATCCCTCTACTATCGTTATCACTATGGGATTTGATTTGACATCTGCGTCTTTGTGCTAATGTGGTATGGCCAAATGGACTTAGGTACATACGTACGTAGTTCTACGCTGCAACTGACTGATTATTGTAAAACTGTGGAGTTCGCTGATTGCAACTGACTAAAAGCAAGTTTTCAAGAGCACATTTCCAGCTTTTCTTTCTTAATTTCTTACGATTTAAATCTTACTACCTATACTGAAAGTCTAGAGTGTGAGGGTTCTTTAATTTTAGTAACAACCTTTTAAGCCTCTCAAATATTGGTGAACGACATTTATAGAAAAATTTATTGTCTACACAAAAGACTATTAATAATCGTCAGTTCACTATAAGTTGGAAAAGTCGCTGATGGTCATAGCATGTTTAGTTGAGATCTAGTGAGTAAATACACCTAGATTTGGTAAAGTCTGGGAAACAGACTATCCATAATCAATGTATGAACATGAGGCTGTGTCAACTATGTTTTGTTTCTAGAGCTAGAATTTCATAAATCTCGTAGTTAAAGTCCTGACGAGCTCAAATGGCTTAGATATGGGATCTGGACACAATTGTGTACAAAGTTATAATCTGCTGATGTCGTTTATCTTGTTGTGACAGGACTAGTAAGTTCACTCTAAGGATATCTTGTTGTGTTTCATACAGTATTTATTTCTCGTTAATTTAGCATTATATGGTGTCTGTCTACTTTTCTTTTAATTTTTGCTAATTTCAACAGACAAAAAATATCATGAAGAAATCAGAGGGGTTTTCTAAAGATGATCGCATTACGGTTCCATCCAAAGATGATTTGACGCCGGTAAATGGTGTCCCAGAAGAACATCAATCTGGAAGGCGTGTCAGAATTTTCATTCCAGCTAAACCAGCCACCCAATCAGGAACGCATGGTACTCGACTTTGGCGTATTGAATTCGACAATCGTGAACGCTGGGAAAATCCATTAATGGGATGGGCAAGTAGTGGTGACCCACTTTCAAATACAGTTGTTGAATTTGAAACTGCGGAAGCAGCAGAAGAGTTTTGCAAACGGCAAGGATGGCCATGTTACGTAGAAAGACCAAATATTTTGAAAATGAATGTCAAATCATATGGATCCAATTTTTCATGGAACAAACGAACACGAGTCGGATCGAAATAAAGTTGCCAGATTGCTAGCATTACTCTTGTTGTTGCTAACTTACTTTAGCAGCTATTTCAATTGTGACTGATTTTATTTCGCTTGTTTATATGTATTGTAGAAATATAAATTAAATATATACTTCTTATTTTCGTTGTTTCGTTATCTATTTATTTTTTTCCATTAAAGTTATGGAAGAAGCTTCAGTTGACCGTATTTTTTGGGCAACTTTGAATGATGATTTATGAGATGGTACTTACTGTTTATGCCAATTTCACTCCTAGAATATTTAATGATCCTTCTTCATTCATATCATTGACATTGAGAATATGTTTTACTGTCAATCCTAAACTTGAACTCCTAATAAATTTAGAAGTAGTCCAGTTAATTTGAAATAGTCCTACATTATATGAAAGTTGTTAATCACTCTAAATATCATTCATTCTAATGAAGTTAATAAAGTCGTACTGTTTCTTATAGACTTTCCATTCATATACTGTTAAAAAAGGCATCTACTGAAATCAAGGTATTCTCGTTACGAAATGATTGGGTTAGTGTCTACAAATCACCTCATAATAAGTAATTTAGTTTCTTTTCTGCATATAAATAACTGGAGTACAAGATTAAAAGACACTAGCATTACCAAGTGAAAAAAATGTTAAAAGCTTCACGTTGTAGATTGCTTATTTTTTATTTCTTGAGATTTTATGTGAGGCTAGTCACGGTCAGTTGTGGCTATATGTATAAAGTGATATTCTTTTCACAGATCACTACGTTGAGTAGGCACAGGACTAGATGGTTTTAGTGTGATAACTGCTCAAGGACTTTTCCCGATAGTTCTTTTTGTCTGATAACCTCGTATTCCTACATATACTGGGTTTGTTTTAATTGGTTGTTGAAATTACTTGACTATGTCATTCACTGCATATTTGGTATCTCATCATGAAGTAATCGTAAGTTGGGGATTCAAATGCAATGAAGTAGTTATTACCACAAGATATTCTTATTTGGGAGGCAACCATGTATTAAGTTAACCAGTTTACAAGTCTGATAATCTACACTTTAGAAAAGCTGGCATTGATCGTACATATATTTGTTTATTTCATGTTCATACTTTCTGTAGGTAAGATGCCGATTTCAGTCGATAGAGAACGCCGTGCGAACGCCGGAGCTCGGATGGCTCGCTTACTGAATGAAGAGGAAGAGGATGAGTTCTATTCCAATATCTACGGTGGATTTACAGAAGTACTGGTCGTCTTTTATCATCTGTCTAATATTTGTTCTTCATGTTTTGTCAAATAAAATGCTTTGCTGAGTTATCCCACCCCAAACCGATTATTACTGCATATAGATGGTCGCTTAAGTTTATTAGTTTAGATGTAGAATTCAAATATGCCAGGAAGTTGAAGCATCTATTTGTTTTCAGAGATGCTAATCAATATTTAATAACTAGATACTAACCCTTATCATATTGTGTGGTCCTCATTGTTAATCGGACTCTGTTTCATTTTCTTCCAATGAATGTCGTTGAGACGTATTTTTCCGGAAAAATCATTCAGACCTTGGAATTTGGACCTCTTTCGGTGTTGGGATTGCCGGACTCATTACCGTTAAACTATTCCTTGCCATTCAAATGAGACCTCATAGTCTGTTCCTTAATCAATAGTGCCTGTTCAGCATTCTAACGTTAGGCACTAATTTATATGCCTTTCGGTAGCCACTTCATATACGTGGCCCTATATTTCAAATTGTTATTTGTGATTTGAGTATCTCCCTAGTATCTCTGACCCTAACTATTAAGAAACCATTAAAAATCTATTGAAATCTAGTTGTGTTTACGACCACGTCTTGCTGAAGAATTCTAAAAGGTTAGTAGAAATATCTGGGGTTTATATCCATTCGATTTGTAATAGCTTGAATTAGTTGGGTGCTAACTTATTGCAACTTCGTTCACAATTTTTAAGTTTTTGAGGACAAAAAGTGTGAATCTCATTGTTGATTAAGCTTCGTAATTCTGAAAATTCACTTGTGATAATAATCGCTAGCAGTTCCTAGTAGTGAATTTCTAGATACTTTTCCACTGTTTGTGGCTCGTTCTTCTGGATATGCGTCTTAGAATGCTGTATTTACGTGTGAATTTAGTGTATATCTTTGGGTCTGTTGAACTCTTTGCTGTAGGATTAGTGGGATTAATCGTCGTACAATGTTCTAGACTTCTGTGTTTAGACATTTTTTTTCTAGGGACATGGTAATCAACAATTTTAGACGTACGCTTCCACTTCAAAGTGTAGTGTCTTTATTCGTAACTTTTATGGGTAACAACTAGTTGATAGGCTGTAGAATCATACATACAACTGAATAAATCTTGTAAAAGTGGACACTTCTAGTATCTGATTGTCGTACACTCTTGTTTTATAATATTGAAATAAATCTGTTGATTATAAGGGCCATAATTATTCAATCTTTTCGTTAAAATATATCCTCCTAGTCTATTAACTATTTAATTTCTCGTTTAGGAAGCTGAAGATGTAGATTACGAGTCGGAAAGCTCAGTTGAAGATGTTATTGATTCTGATTTTGCTGATGAAAGTAGTGGATCTGACGAGGATGATGCAACAGCAGCTGCATCAGATGATGATGATGAGAACAAACGTCAAAAACGTCAATCTAATCGTGTTGTCACAAAAGGTTACAAAGTACGAATATCTTTTTTTCTGAAACTATTTTTAACTTTTTTTTTCTGATTATACGTTTTCCATGCAATTGATCATCTGCATAAAGTTAACTAAATTGAGAACAATGAATTTTTGTACAACACGTCAAGTTGATTATGTATTCTCTTGTTTATAATTACATCCAAGTTAAAAATAAATCACTTTGGTAAACGATCAAAAATATTAGCATATTCTAAAAATAAGTAGAAAAATACTAACGGTTTTAATGTTGTTTGAAATGAACGGATTGCGGGGAAAGATACTGAGTTCGATTCCCGGTGTTAACGTGTTAACACCTCGATTCAGGTAAATCCTGTTGACCAGTTTCAAATGAGATAAAATTCACTTTTTTTTTCACTGCTACGCAAAATCTATCTATTCTAAATATCTTATGATGGTTATATTGAAGCTATCTGCATCGGATGCAGCACATATGATATCAAAAACTGATCAGAATCCAGTCTTTAATACCAACAACAAAATAACTCACACTTTTACTAAAGATGATGTAGTGTCCACTGCAGTTAGTAAATTACTTTAAAAAGAAAAAAAAAAGTAAAATATTGTCTTTTGTTGAACAGTTTGATAAAATGAACTTTTTCCAATAATTTCTATATTGTGAAATTTAATAATTTTACATTCACTTGTCAATGATCTTTTTTTTTTGTCTACAGGAACCTAAACGTGTTAAAAGTACTCGTACTCAAGAAAATAAATTATCCGAAAAGAAAACTAGTAATGATAAAAGTTCAAATGATTCTCAAAGTAAAGCTACTACACAACTTAAAGATAAACAACAACAGATAACAACAACAACAACAGGAAAGAAGACTGTAGGACAAATCTCAACCTATGGTAAGCCGGTTTTTCTTATTGGCAATGATTTATAGAAATATTAGAAAGTAAACTATTAGGCTATTCATAGGGATATATATATATATTTTTAGAAGGAACTGTTGCATAGAGTGATAATATTAAGTTTACTTTTATTTCGACCCATCTGTATATGTCTTATTTCAATATATACCATTGTTGGACAATGATTAGTGATAGATGCCAACAGCTATAAAAACATAGTATGTCACATGTGTGTTCTCTCAAATCAAGTTTATTTCACTAGATTCTACTTCTTTAGTATTCTAATCTTAATCTTTCCGATTACTGCTAATATCTTTACTACCTCTACTACTATGGGATTTGAATTGACAATTACATCTTTGTGCTTATGTGGTATGGCAACATGAACTGATGTACGTACGTAGTTTTACGTTGCTATTGATTGATTGATTGACTGTGAAACTTTAATTTTGAATCGTTGCTTTGGTGTAGTACTAACTCTAACCTATCTCAATGATGTGGATTATGTGTAAATAATATAATGTAATCACATTTGTAAATGGTATACATTGTAATTGGTGTCCAAGTGTAACATTATAATGTTAGGTTTATCCATATGTTTTCACTGTATGTTTGAGCCGCTAGCATTCTCAAGCTATGAAGGGTTTACCAAGATTACTTCTATTCTTAACTGGTACACTATAATTTATTGACAAAAGTATTATTTTATAAGCGATCACATTGCAAATCTTTTATATACATACTTGTAGGACGACCAGAATTGCGAGCAAGCACATTACAAGCTACGGCTGATCACGCTGAAACTATGCGTCGACGAACAGCTATTACTGAGAATACAGCTGTTCGTCGGAAAGCTTTACTAGCCGAAATCGCTCAACGCAAAAATCTTCCAGAAGTTCGACGATTAACACAAGAAGAATTGTTGGCTGAAGCAAAAATCACAGAAGAAATTAATCGTCGTTCTCTAGGTGAGTTCGTTTGAGAATATTTGTAGAATTTGATCGATTTATTTTTTTTTATCTTAAATACAGAAAACTTTGTATACCGTGAAAAAAACGTTGTTAATTTAAGAAAAGTGGAAAGTCTTGTGTGTATTATAACATATAACCGTTGTTTGTTGTTACTAGTTTGGTTTAATTATACGGAAAAATGTTATTATTTTAGTGATTATAACAATGGTGGGTACATAGACGCATATAAAGTAAAGTGTTAGTTATCTATCCTTAATAATAATTTTTTTTTCACCACTCGTTTACTTGTTATTCTTTCAATATCAGCTCGGTATCAACGCTTAGAAATTGAAAAGAAGAAAGCACGTATTCAAAAAACTGTCAATTCCACTCCAATGATTCGTTATCATTCATTTACTGTTCCAATTATTGAAGAACAGCACAATATATACGGAGTGTTAGCCAGTAATGATGATGAGTAAGTTTTAATGTTAGCCAACATTTCGTTTAATACGTTACAGATATATATTTAAAAATATAAGAGGAAAAAAAAGCTTTTCATAAGGCTTGAATTATACTAGAAAATGAATTTGAATAAGAATCATTTTAAAATTAGGTATAGTAGGATATATAAAGCAAAAATGAAATCGCATGATTGCATTTGTTCTGGGATTGATTTAATTAGCGTTCATCTAATTTCCATCTCATTTAAATATATATACTTATACGTGTATATATGTTTCGGAAAAATTGTTTGTCCGACTTAATATTACCCATTTTTCCTAAATTAGATGTGTTTTTGTTGTGTTTTACCCTTTTTTTTCGTAATCGTTTAAATTTAATGTATGTACCACAGCCACTTATCTTTTAATCATTAAGATATGGACATAAATCCACTAGCCAATGCTTTTCTTAAAGTTCTACAAGCAATGCATTATTCCTGTGTCAGTTTTCAAACTAAATATGTTGGTCCCCTAATACCTTGCTTGCTACATCAGTTATTTTTTAGAATTTCCTTCTCTGTTGATCGTCTGGGTTCTATAACTGTTCTAAGTCGAAGTAGACTACAAAGTGCACCTCCTATCTTGTCTCCAAGTGATCTATTGGAGTTTTATTTTTACCATACACGATGTTTAAATTAACCGTGAGAGTGATATTCTGTGCATTTACGAGTCATTCAATAATATACACTTTTATATGACTGGAGTCGTTTTTAGTTTTCTTTATCTTTTTGAGTACTAGTCATGGTCAATACCTATATCTAAAGATATAGAGTGTGATTATAGGGAGTGAAGTAGTTGAGCGTGTTGACCGCTTCACTGATATTGGGAATTTCACTAGTCCTGTTGGCCTGGTATGTGACGAAATCTCAGCGCGAATGCAGAAAGCTCGAGTGGCCTTTGCCATCCATCTGCTAACCTAAGGACGAGTTTACTGTGTAGTGGTTCTCTCCGTCCTGGTTTATGGCTGTGAACCATAACCAGTTAGAGTAGAGGATAATCGTAGGTTACTAGTATTCGATGATAGGTGTCTTTATGATTATTTAGTGTATTGTTTACTAATGTATAGTAGTCTAACAATTTAAAAGATATTTACTACATAACAAATTTATTAATATTGTTTTTTGAATACAATTATTTAATTTTTACGGAATAAAATATTTTAAAATATTAAAAGAGTAATAGCATTCGATCATAAATGTCTTAGAAGCATTGCTCGTATATCCTAGGACCACTGAGTAAGCAATGCTGGTGTTCGGAAAAGGGTACTAGGTGAGGGAGGCAGATCATTTGATGAAGTAGTGAATCTTGATCGGCAGCTGAGTTGATTGGACATGTGATACGTATGCCTAACTACCGACTACTTCGACGAGCGATTCTGTCTGGTGTAGGGCTAGACTGGAAGAAAGCTAGTGGTGGCCAAACCGAAATATGGAACAAATCCATGAATTCACTGACTACTGGATTGAGCCATGTTAGTACTAGTTGTAGACTAACTAGTTGGGGTCGGCGAGATAACAGTAACTGATGGTTAGAGACTCTGAACGACGTGCCTCAAGATCGTTTGCAGTGGGGCAGGTGCATCCATTCTTTGACTTGTCTCAAATTATCATTTTCAATCTGTTTTTCTGGGATATAATTCTCAAATCATATCTTCGATCCCTAATCTTTTCCATTACCGCTAATACTTTACTACCTCTACTACTTTGGAACTTAAATTGACAATTCGATCTCTGTGTGCTAATGTGGTATGACAACCTGAACTAATGTACGTACGTACGAATTTCTACGTTTTAGTTGACTGACAGTGCAATCATCTTTTGCTTTTGGTTCCTTATCGTAGTGAAGAAGGCTTTAAGATATAATTTAGACAGTCGATATCCGTCCGAAAAACGAGCCTACTTAGCCGGTTGTCATATTACAAACCTACACGTTTTACTTCCTAGCCCCTCATTTTAGGGATTGATACCGAAATAACTAGGATCGAGGTTAGGAAGTAGTAATCAAATATTCCCAACTTGAATGGATCACATTTTTCAGATATTGACTTAAAGGTTGAAGGTTCAAACCCCTACTATATCTTCTTCGGTCTGAGTTGTTTAGTGATAGAAATAATCGCATAGAGAATTTAACTGGAAGTACAAACCTATTCGTGATTACTGAGTTGCACCAAGCTATTAAAAACAGTAAAAAAGCCAGTAGCGACTCTGTAAATCTTTAAATAAAAGCACATATTGTTGTATTTTATTTTGTGAATATGTATGCGGTTTATAGAACCTATTATAAGCATAGGCTTGTTAACGTGTTCAGTAAAATTTTGTTTTAAGTGATTTTTATTCTTGTTTCACATAATTTTATACAATTTCTATAATATTTCTGATTTTCAGTTCAACTATTCGAGCTGGTCCCATTATTACTGATCCGTCAGCTAAATGTTCAAGAAATTTAATAACATTCGCTAATGATGTATGTTTTCGTGATTCAATGCCTCAAACAGTTACTCCATTACCAGAACCTGATTGCCCTGCTCCTACTCCTATACGTCCGAAACGTCGTTTACGTATATGTCCGATCACTGGTTTACCAGCACGTTATTTAGATCCACTAACTTTAACACCATATGCTAATTTAGCTGCATTTCGTGTACTTCGACGTTTATATTCTGTACATTTAGAAACAAAGAAACCGCCAATGGAATTATTACGTGAATATCGGCATGGTCGCTAACATTTTTTTCTGGATTTTTTACGCATTTATGAAGACTAAATGATATTGTACATATTATGTTGATAGTTTAAAGGTTGCTTTATTCACAAAAAAAATACTTTTTGTTCACTGAGTAGTCCCTTTACGTGTAAATAATTATCTCTGATTTATTTAGGTGTTTACTTTGAAGGGGCTATTCGTAAACGCGCTTACTTACAGAGTAATGTTTCGACATGCATGTTTAGGTTATTACTTAGCTATAAATGTACCTCACTAGTAAACGTTTTTTATGTAAATATATCTGTTATTGTCATAAATATACTCGTAGAGATGATATTTTTAACCTTTGGGATATCTTTTATCGATTTAAGATACGGATATGAATAGCCACGTTAAACGAATATGGTGATGAGGTGGAAGTTATGTTGAATACATAAATTTGCGTTGATTTATTTGCTGATCCAATGATTTCGTAGTCTTTATTCACTATAAATTTCTGTTTTGTTGATTTTGTCATTCTTCACTGCTACAATGTCCATCGGATTTAGACAGCAATCTATCTTAGCTGTTTGTATTTACTCAGTTACTTAACTGTTCGTAAAACATACGTTTTTCAATGTTTCAATCCTGTCTCTGTTAAAGCGACAGGTAGATCTGGTTAGGACTTTGTGAAATCTCACTGTAATTGTTTTCTGTATTTAGCAAATCTATGTCCTATATCATATTGATAATTTTACCTAATTAATAGATAACTTATGCAGGACACTAGATCATCTCTGACTGTTTCAATGGATTGCAGTTCAGATGTGCAGATAATGATCTGTTGCACCATTAAGTCAAAAACCTCAACCGATCCTAGCAAACATGTCAGTCTTTTAGCTTGGGACTTATATATACAATACGAACAATCAAGGACAGAACAGGGTTGGTTGTTTTATCAATATAAATACCTATGAACGTTCCTCATCATCATATTTTCTTAATTTATCAAGAATACCTAGCACTGTGATCACTGACTTACTGTTTGCATTTTCCCTCTGCATCTAAAATTTTTACCTTAAAAAATCAAATCTCTTAGTATGCACGAGTTTCATTTTTTTTAAAGCGCCTACTCGGGGTGTGATTATATCATAGTTTTTGAAATTCATCTGTTTCAATGGCAAGTATGACTGTTTTCCTTAAGAGATTAATGGAAGAAGCGAGTTGGCTGGATTCGGGAATGTAATTAAATTTAACTAAGTTTGAGGATGATTACCAAATAACTGAAAAGTGAAAATGAGAGTTGATGGCAGCATATATTCAGTTCCTTGTAGAGAAAGATGTGTTTGTTAATTGTGCGGTGGTTGCTGCCATCTTAGCGTTCGATAATATGGTAATTTGAAGAACTGCAGCAACATTTCGACGATTGAGTGTGTAAATATACCATATACTCATCAATAACAGATACGTCCTTTTGAGAGATGATGATGTTAATTTTGTAACAAGCAAATTTCAAGTTACTTCACTAAAAAGTCTTTTGATTTTCAGTTTTATGTGTATACATTCTAACTCAAAATGTACTTGTAAAAGAATGGTGACAATAGCAACGAAAAAAGACATTTCACTAAGCATATACCACATCGTCAACCGAGAGTGTAGTCAGTAATTATTTATGGAAAGTTAAATTTTTTTGTATACACTTGGTAAAGCATAAATTATAACAAGACCTCAAAGTCACTACAGATATTTTATACTTTCTATCAGTGAATCAATCCGAATGGAGAGCTTTCGCAGAAAATATTGAATGGCTTCTCTTATTTTGGCATCGAACGTCTTGTTTACGACCATCATTTACTTCGCACTTAGGTGCGAAGTACATTTGCAAGACTTGCAAGAACTTAAGCCTGTAGTCACTCCTGGTAATGAGCAGAAAGAAGCAGACGAAAATTCACGTATTGATGGTGGTGTGAGTGATGCAGTCAATTCACATATAGTGAAAGCCATAGCAGCTTATGACAGTTTGAGTCATCTTTGAAGCCTTCTTTATATTAACCGGGCCGTAAAAGGTTAGGTCTACAATGCGTTGGGGAGAGCAATTATATTCTGCGATTGTGGGACCTAGCCTCCGAGTTGAGGATTCTAAGCAACTCTTTGTTGTTGTTGTTGGTACTCCCACATTGGTAAAGCAGCAACACGTGTTTAGACACAGCAAAGATAATTTAATTGGTGTCATTATCTCAAAACAAGCTTCAGTGGCTTGTACATGTATACTTCAAAAGTCGTCCCAATGAATTCCACATTGTAAGTTACGTACCAACGCTGGGATTGGTCGGAAAGAGCGGATAGATGACTAGTTTATGGCATGGTGTCGCAGTATAAAAGACAACTTTATGGGACTAGTGTCTGTCGGTCTTTCAAAACTCCCTGATTGGGGTTTTAGAGGTGGTGTAACTCATTTGCTTGACACATTATCAAATATGGCTCAGTGGAGAAGCCACTGGCGTTCCTGCTTCAGCCTTCGTTTATTTGCTTTATATAAGTGAAAGGAACTTCATCAACTGAAAGGATTGTTTCTGGCTGTATTTTCCTTAACTAAACTGTCACTATTATTAATATTATTTCATTCCTATACACTAATTTCTATCCTATTTTTTGTTATACTTGCCGTTTTTGCCATCTCTTCATAACCTCACTTATATTGTGTGGTACATACACATTTTTATGTCTCCTTGTACAAATATTTATGTGTTTTAAACAAAAATAAATAAAAACAGTTTTGTAGATGAATTTTATGAAGACCTGATGAGTATATGTGACTTGTATAATCAAACATGTTGACCGTAAGGTAGTTGTCACATGATTTTTCATGAAGACAACAAACTTATCGATTCAAAAGTTTAAATTCGTAGTGTCATGTAGGTGGGTTGCAGATGATAACTGTTCTGTTCTCGTGTACTATAGATTTGTTGGTGTCCCTAATGCAACATATCTTTATGTTGTAACTGAAAAAATAGCATGTTGAATAATAGTAGTAACTGTCAGTCAGCAACAACGTAGAAATCTGTACGTACGTACATCATTCCAAGTTGCCATACCACATTAGCGCAGAGATGCAACCGTCAATTCAAATTCCAGAGTGGTAGATGTAGTAGAAGTATGAGCAGTAATCGGAAAGATTAGGATATGAAGATATTATTCAATGAGTACAATCTAGTGAAATAAATTTGTGATGAGAAAAATGAGAGTCATGAAGAATTCATATTAGGATTTTAGAGAACGCAAAGAGTGGATGCACCTGCACCATTGCAAATGATTTTGTGTCATGTCATCAGGTCACCTTATTACAACAATGGTTATATACTGATAAATTATTGTGTGGGTTTATGACTTTCTCATTTTGAATAAATCGCGTTTTTTCCTATTGAATGATTTTGTTACGTCCCTGCTTATCATTACGACTTCTCATAGTAATGTTTATTTTATTTTTATGATTATTGAAAAAGTTTTGGTTTTAAAACTGAAGTTTTGACCCCGAATACCAGATATTTAGGAGAAACGTCATTGGATATGTAATTCAGCATGATAAGTCTACTAGTTCTACAAACCCGAGTGTTTTATAAATCGAGATCTAAATTACAAGTAGATCAATCAGCTATAATCAACGTTCAAGCTAACACTTCTGAATTAGCCCAAGTCTCTACATTACTCCATCGTAACGTGATGACATGGACAAGATGAATTTTACAATAATCAAAGTTAAACGATATTTTTAATGATTATAACTTTACATAGTTTGAAAAGTGAGAATTTATTTATGTGAGTTAAAAGTATAAAATCAAATTCAAGCTTCATTTTCAAATTGGAAAATTATATTCATTGTATGAATGAATTGTTGATCTAGAAATTAACAGTGTTTCAGTTCAATTTATTTATACAACCATAATATTCTCAAGTATGCGTATTATAATGAAATCAATAGGAATACTTACCAATTTCTATTTTGATTAGTGAATCATCTTTAATTATGAACTAAATATTATTTTGTCAATAAATGTAAACCATAAAATATTTAAAAGATATTTCTGTTTTTATCGAATGAATGGACTAGGATATTGATGAAATACAGAATATACGTTTCTTTCAATTCGGGATACATTAGTTGGATATACTTACTTACTTACTTTTGCCTGTTACCCCCAATGGAGCATAGGCCGCCCACCAGTTTTCTCCAACCAACTCTGTCCTGGGATTCCCTTTCCAGTTCTGTCCAATTTTTGTTCATCCCTCTCATATCTTTCTCTATTTCTCGGCGTAATTTGTTCCTTGGCCTTCCTCTTTTCGTTTGACCTTCAGGGTTCCATGTGAGGACTTGTCTTGTGACGCAGTTAGGTGCTTTTCGTAGTGTGTGTTCTATCCACTTCCTGATTTCCTCCTCCACTGGAATCTGGTTTGTTCTCTCCCACAGTACGTTTTTGCTGATCATGTCTGGCCAACGAATACGAAGTATTTTGCGTAGACAGCTGTTAATAAACACTTGTATCTTCTGAATGATGGCTTTGGTAGTTCTCCATGTTTCCGCTCCATACAGTAGAACTGTCTTCACATTTGTATTGAAAATCCTGATTTTGGCGTTGATTGATATTTGTTTGGAGTTCCAGATATTTTTCAATTGTAGAAATGCAGCCCTTGCTTTGCCAATCCGCGCCCTAACATCCGCATCGGATCCACCTTGATTGTCAATGATGCTTCTAAGATATGTAAAGGTGTTAACGTCCTCCAAGGCATCTCTATCAAGAGTGATTTGGTTGGTGAATGTTGTGTTGCATCAGAGAATTTCGCTTTTTCCTTTATGTATGTTGAGACCTATTGTTACAGAGGCTACTGCTACATTGGTCGTCTTCTCTTGCATTTGTTGTTCCTATCGCACACGCAACAACAGATGTAAGAGAAGACTACCAGTGTAGCAGCAGCCTCTGTTGGATTTAGCCTCATCTCAAATAGAAAGAACACATTTGTCTTAGATGTCCATGTTGCGCTCATGAAACTTATCATGTAAATTTTTCAAGCATATCAACCAATATTTTATTTGTATTTAACATTCGATATTTAATTTCACCATTGCACACCTGATGATTCAGTCAAATACAGAAAATGCTTTACAGTGTTCTCTTATTAAATATCAACCATCTGCGTCTATATCCTAACTTCATCCATTTCATTTCACAACTATATATTGATTCAGAGCAAACTGTTGCACACTTTGATAAACAGAAAAATATCTATCAATACTCCAAACATACTACTGCATCAAATTGGATTTTATTCTCAATCCCATTTTATCTCGGATTCATTTTATTCATATGTCACTTGATTCATAAGCATAAGAAATGTTAGCTTCCAGGAAACAATTATAACGTAAGTTAATGAAAAATGACAGAAAATGCCTGATACAGCACATATTGAAAAATAAAAATGGATGCGCTGCCAATTCACGGACATGGATCCTTGTTCCAATACTCTATGTTAATACCTTTGAAAATATTTTATTACATAAAAATTATTGTTATTATTCAAAAACAACAATAGAAATAAATTTATTTTGTAATAAATATCTTGCAATTGGTTAGACTATTTTATACATTGATAAATAAAACGTTAAATAATCATAAAATAACTCTCATCTGTCATGATCTTTTTGCTTAAAGTTATATTTCAACTGTCAAATGTTCAAATGTTAAATGTTCACATTGAACTACTGAAAGATCGTATTTTGTTTAAATCTATCTGTTATTGATTTATTCCATAGTAAGTAAATGATAGTGGTTTGAAAAAAAACAAACATAAGCACTAGATATTGTTAGAATAAATATTCATCTTGATTAAGGAACATTTGAATGGGGGAATACGGAAAAGATTATCAACTAAATTAAAATGATTGATTAGAAATATTCTGTTGAATGTATAAATATTATTAAATGACAAAAGTATTTCATAATTAACGGATTTTTGAGAATAGTTGTGAGTTTATTGTGTGTATACTCTAAGTTAGGAAGCGGGCTCTAATATGTTAATATAAAAGTGTTTTCTTCAGCCTATACATTCAATTATCGTCCGATTATCCTGTTCAACGGTACAAAAATCAATGAAAAAGGTCCTGAAGAAAAAAAGAGATTGTCACTTCATTTTTTTTCAAAACTATTTCATAGAAGTTATTTTTGTTGGTTTCGTCTTTCTGCTTGCAAGGCTTTAAGTCGTTCTAACTCTGATTGTATCAGTCGAAATTCTCGATTAGCTTGTTCAATTTCATAAGCTCGTATTGCTGCTTGCCATCGATAATCTGTAAAATTATGAATAAATTTTTTTTTTATACAAGAAAAATAAATAGCATAGTTTTATATTTAATACTAAAGCAAAGCGAATTTCAACAAAGATGAATATATTGATCAGTTAATAGTATTTATAGTAAGGGGAATTTTCAGATAATCTTTTCTTTGTCTGTTATTAATTTAAACCTAAAATGTTCAGAATGAATCTATTGAAGTAGTTGTTTGATAAAGGTTATCAACGGGTAGTAAAAAAGAGAAATTATTATTTATAGTTTTTCAAAAAAAAAATTGAGTAGTTGAGTGCTATCTTATTTTCATTTCAGAATTGTAGAAATCATTGAGTTCCATTGAAATCATGAACTGACCAATGTTAGACCACTATTAGAAACCTGGAAGCACTGAATGGTCGTTTCGCCTTAGTATGGGACTCATCCCATCCACGACCCCCGCTCGCGGGAATCGAACCTAGAACTTTCGGTGTCATTCGCGAGCGCTTAACCTCTAAATCGATGAGTCAACATCCAACTTTGTTATTGTCTAACTTCAATCTATCCACGATATTGCTCGACCTCATCATGATACCGAATTTTCGACCTTACTGTATTTTATCAACTGGTAAATGATTGTCACGTAACTGATTTAATGAAAAAATTATATAGGATTATCAGAGTTATTTACACATGACCATTAACAAGAAAAGATTATTAGTGATTAATAATCCCATTTAGATAAGGCGAAATTAATTTCATTGAGAGTGCATTATTGTTTCATTGGTTTTTATCGATCCATATACAAAGAAATTATTGATTAGATTAGTTCATAGTTAATTAACTCGATCACACCTGACTTTTACTGCGAGTTTTTATACTGAATTTATTGTTTAGTATCTACTTACATTTTTTTAAAATCGTCGTTATTAGACTTGTTTAAGAGATTTATGTACTTTGTATTTTACGATTTTTGTTCTGCAGTGTAGCAATATTTGGTGGAGTATAGACGCGATTAAGTCGACATGCAATCGATTCTAATGTCTCCTTTGATTCTGTCAGGAAATTTGGTAAAAAAGTAATCCCATTATTTACTGAGTGTAGTCGATTTCAGTAAAAAAGATAGAAAATCTAACTTTTGTAAAGTAGAATTCGTAATACTACACTGTAAAAGGTAGTGTGTATCTATCTTTTAAATAACGAATGTAATGAAAAACCAGCCGTTCTTTTAGAAGACAGTAATTCTCATCTACAGCAGCAACAACTCAAGAACTCACAAAATCGACTGCGTACAAACTTTATTCAAGAGAGTGAAGATACACTGTAGCACACATGAAGCACAAATAAAGACAAAAATATCTGATGACTATTTTCGATATGAACGGCTAACCACACAGATTCGTCAAAAAATATCAACTGAAACAATCAACAAAAGCTACAGGAAGCACAGGAACCAACAAACGGATCATCCTGCCATATATAAGCAACAAATCGAAAATTACAGAACCATTTGGAATAGGTGTAGCACACAAACCAACAGAAACACTTCAATCAATCCTATATAAACTGAAGGACAAAATGACAAAAGAAGAAAAACAATGTCATCTACAAACTGAACTGCTCAGACTGTGAAAAACAATACATAGGACAAAGTGGGCGACCTTTTCAGCTCCTTTAGCAGTCAAACGCCACGACAACGCTTCGCTTATATCAATACATACCGACAGTTAAGGACACACATTCGATTGGAACAGTTTTGGAACTACTGGATAGGGGGAGGACAAAGAACACTAGAGAAGTTTTAGAAGCTTTGCAGTCAGGTCAATCAGGAATCAATAAACACATCGGCATTGACCCAACCAATCAGAAAAATCATAGGCAAACATAGAATCAAGAAACAGATCAAAGCGGGGTCTAATCAAAATAAAGGTGTAGACAATGACAAGTTGAAGTTCAATAACGATCAGTCGAGATCGAGGTCAACAGGACAAACTGCAAAGATGAATGCCGAAATTCCGCCGGTTTCATGGCCAAAACTTGAGCATCTTGGTCCAGAACACATGTCGATTTCGCTGGTCCAATTAATGGAACTATGTATTTAATTGTCGTCGACGCCTTCTCAGAATGGCCAGAAATCAGCCCCGTTATGCCGCCCACAACAACTAAGACTATACAGCTCCTAAATGAAATTTTCTCACAAAATGGCATACCAGATGTGATCGTATCCGACAATGGCTCTCAATTCACCTCTTCCCAATTCCAGACTTTCTGTCAACGGCTAGCCATTAAACACTTACGCTCGCCACCATACCACCCGCAATCGAATGGGCAGGCGGAAAGGTTTGTGGATACGTTTAAAAGAGCATTGGTTAAGTCAAAAGGGGAGGGGACACCAGCCGACGCGTTACAAAATTTCTTGTACGTCTATCGGACAACACCAAATGAATTGTTACCGGAGCAAAAGTCCCCAGCAGAAATCCTGATGGGAAGAAGATTGAAAACGATCCACAGCCTGATGCATCCGACTAATGCACCCACACCAGTAGAGACAAAGCCGCAAAGACAATCCGCCTACGAAGTGGGATGCCCTGTGTTTGCCGGCGACTACAAAACGAACCATGGTCCTTGGGCGGAAGCGAGAGTGGTCAGAAGAGTTGGTTGAGTTATGTACGAAGTAGAGGTAGGAGGTGATAAATGGTCACGTCATCGAAATCAGATACGCAGACGGCTAGCCCTAGGTCGCCCATCAAGTGCATACAGCCTTCCCCTTGACATGTTGCTTGATACTTTCAACCTACCGGCAGCCCCGCCACGAGAAGAAACCCAGCAACAAGCTGTTCTTCGTCCCCGAAGGTATCCTCTCAGACAGCGGCGAACGACAGTCAAGATGCAAGTCGACCCCAGGAGCACACGCTATTAAAAGGGGGAGGAGTGTTGGGGATGTTAGATCCCCAAAATTCGCTTGATAAATGCCTTATTTTGGTTTTCAAGTTTGCCAGCATGGACTGATCAGTTGACCTTGAGATTTCAATTCCCACCAGGAAAATCACAAGTGGAGAAATTCGAATACTTCGCTTCTATCAGAAGTTTGTGTTAATGATATTGTTCAGAAGAACAATGAAAGCTACACAACCAAAGCATTCAGCTCAGAGAACGAAACTCAATCACAATTATCACTTTGATACATATTTAAATGATGTGAGGATGCGGATATAAGAGCAGCATTGCATATTACTAAAAAAGTTTTGATATTTTATAAGTTTAGTTCCTTTTGTTATCTTGAAGAGCAAAAGAACAAAGAACTGAGCAGAATAACATAAATTCGTCTTATTTGTTTATATAATGAAACAATTAATTATAATATCACTATGATCTCTTATTACTGCAATCTAGAATCTTCTCTCACGTATTATCTTTATATACAACACTTTATGTGTCTCCAATCTCACCGCTCTACCATGATGAAACACATCCTTGTTTACTGTTTTAAGTACGTTTATCTGATAGTAACTGTGATTTGCAAAATATTATAGGTTGTAAGCAGCTGATGAGAACTCGACAAAATTTAATGAATTCGTGTTAATTCTGCTCAATTCTGTGTTCTTGCACTCTTCAAGTTTTTTAAATTACTCATAAATTTTTTAAATTTGGAAATTGATTTTGATTTGATTTTCATAGATATTACGTAACTCTTGTAGGAAAAGAAGGTTGGTTTTTTCGACTGAAATTATATTCGATCTGTCAAAGTAGTTACGTTAAATAGCTTACATTATTTATCGTTTTATTTTAAAACGTCATTATTGATATGAACTTCAAAATTATATTAAACTATGAAAATTAACTATCATGTATGTGTATATAACAGAATAATTTTTAAAAGATAACAAGAATACGCTTCAATTATTGTCAGTAAAATAATAATTTCCGTAAAATATAATTATTCTTAAATGTGTACATTTCAATTGAATATAGCAACTTTATTACTGGCAGGTATTAATTCAGTTGTATATAACTTAAACCAATGTTCACAGCAGTGAATAAATATTTCAGCTTAATACCTCCCCATTTAATAGTTCTGACTATGTATTTTAAATTATTTGACTGAAAATTCATTTTAGGCTTGAAAGAGTTTATATTTGTTAGATAAATAATATACTGCTGAGCTATAATGAATAACTATATTACTGATATAGTAATAGAATGCTATTTATTATTTCATTTTAATCAATATATATATAATTTATTAGCACGCTTCAGTTCATTTAAAACTATCAAATAATTGCGTTTTGTTTAACCGTAACGGGCAGAACGAAAAAAAAAAGCAGGCAAATGATCAACATTCAATTCTCTTTCTTTTTTTTTTGTTTGATTTTGGCTTAAAAAAGAATTATGTTATGTAATAAAATAATTGACTAGAATTAAAGTTATTTGATGTTGAAATTTTTGAAAATTCTTATTTATTCTGTTTCATCTTTTACTATTGTTACTAGTACTCTAGCAAGTTGACTACTAATATTACTTACTAACAATAATAAAATACGTTTTTAGTGTGATGTTAATTTAATAAGACAAATTATGTTACAAAGTTGCCTAGCAGCAATAACAATCTACAATTGATTTATAGTAGTAGTAGTAGTATTAGTTATTATTCACTTAAATTATTATTAGGAATTTTGATACTTGAACAACAATATTACTGCAGTAAATAAAGAATGATGGAAAGTCAAGGTTTTTTAAAGTACGAAGTCAAAGGTACTACGTAGTCGCTTTGTATTTTCATCAATTTAATGCTATTTTATAATACAGCATTGTTATTATTATGATAAGTTGTACAATTCTTTTGTTTAGTTGTGTTATTTAAACATAGCTTAATTTATGCGAAAGGTAAATATCTGCTGTAGTACCAATGAAAATTAATGTAATCGGAGAAAGTTTAGTTGAAAAAGAATAATTTTTTAATAAATTTTAGGCTTGGAATATTTAAAAATAGATTTGATTTCGAATAATAACTTCAAGTTTTAACTTGTCTACACTGTGTTATATTAAACTATTAGAGATAAGCGAATTATTTTTATGAATTAAGCTCAGCACATTTTTTTTTGAACGATGAGTCTTCAAAATAACCACATTATTGTCAGTTGTTTACCCATACTAAAAGATCTATCCTTTGGAAATATACTACTTTTTATGCATGTTGAAGTATTTACATTCATACTTAGAGTTATAATGCCTTTGATTATTGTGTCAAATTTTAGTATATTTTGGTAGCAGTCATTGATAGTTGTAACAAGTACAAGATCCGAGTATACGTATTTCTTCCCAGCTAATTTCTACAACAGAACATAGTGTACTCCTATTCAAGTGACAGCATTTCGTATTCCATATCTTAGCGAGTAATTTCAGGAAACTTGATGGTTTAGTGTTTACAAATAATGATATTAGAGTGTACTCGACTTAGTAAATTGAGACTTGAATCAGTTTACTTTTAGGTGCTTTTTTTGTATCGAAGTTGATCATTTCTTTGGAATATAGAGCCCGAATTCTACCATTTCACTGACCTATGGTCTTCTTAGATAACTCATTTTAAATACTTTTTATTTTAGATGGAAGTAATAAAATTAAAAACGTGAATATATACAATATCCTTCCATTCATGAAAACATGAATCTATCACTGTAACAGTGTAAAAAGCTGCGGTTTACTGATAATTTAGCTGCAAAGTTAACTGAAAATTCTTTTCTTTGAAAATCTTTACTCAAATCGCTGATAACATTCACTCTTTTGCCTTAAGAAATAATTAAAACTAAGATTATCGAGGAGCAAGGAGTCATGAAGTGTAATAGTGATTATTTGTGATTCAAAAAATCCAAAACGAGATCTTATCATCGGCTTTTTTTTAGTTTAACTTTTTCAGATTACTTGGGCTTGTCGACTTGAAAATGAACACATAAGATTAACCTTACACTTTCAAAACCTTAACAAAATGATAAATAATAAATCTCATGAATTGTAAGGTCAGTTTTTAATCCTAAAAGTACTTCAAGGTTATAGTGCGGAATATTTTTAAGGTATGAATCATTGTAATCTTATGATCGACTTACCTCTCTCATATCGAGGTGAAAAATAATCGGGATTTTTAGGCTTCTCTATGTCGTCTAGTGTTGTCAATCGTCTATCTTTCTCGACTTTCAGGGCTTCTTCAAGAGTATTTTCGAGAGCAGCCATAAGAGCTAGATTATGACCTCCTGTATGCTCGTAAACTCCACGCAGAGTTCTGTATGAAGAAAAATTAATTAGTTTATTTATTATTTTTGGTTCAGCCTCGAAGAGTTGAAATCTTTCGCATTTTATTACCATGTTGAACATCATTAGTTATCTGTACATCTTCGATTATTAATTTAAAATCGAAATATCAATATGATATGACTGCTTATCGACTGACTGTGTAACTCAACTAAATATTAGTATATTGTTTCATAGTGTGCTTTTTATTGTACCTACTTAACAGTTAGATGTTTACACACCATCTAGGTATTAATAACGATTAAAAACTATTGAGTGCTCTATTTAGCAAAAACTCAAATTTGGGACAAAAAATTTGGATTAAAAACTTAAATATTAACTTAAAACACTCTAAATTTGTGAAAATGTATCTAATTAGGCCAGATAGCCGTGAATTTATTTTTTGATTTATTTTAAACTTTCCAAAGACACATTTTTGGAATATCAAGTGAATAAATGTAGAAAAAAGGTCAAGTCTTCTGGTTTGAATGGTTTCTCTATCTTGCCCTTACATGCCATAAACAAATTTGAGCCTACGAGAAAGTATGTCAAGATTCTATGGATTTCCTATACGTGATGTGTAATTTTTACAAGGACAGGTTAATTGTTGCAGGCATATGAATCACTATCACCGAATGTTTTAGTTGATTTTTTTCGTAATTTGACCTAATCAAAATAAATTTCAAGTAACGTTGTGTAAAATGTAAACTAGTTTCGAATTTTTTCGTAAAAATCCCCTCTCTTGTTTTTTGCAATTCGTTTAGGGGGAAAATTTAAAGATATATCACTGCATCACCTGTTAAGATACTATTTTGTCACAGTAACAGCATATAAATATTAAGTGTCGGGATTTCATTCACCTATAACCTACTAAAATGCATTAAACGGAATAAGAGACCAGTAAATTTAAGTATGTTTTCCCAATTTTCATAGCTCATGCAGAGAATCCTAGTTCGCTTTGCTATTTTTTCGAAAGGAAAAAGGTAAGTTTCCCCTTTAAAATCACATTTTAGTTTCTAAATAGCTAAATTTTTTAGCAACTTCGGAGTTCCAGTATATTTATCTTGAACACTGTCCACATAGCATTATACAGATTGAGAAAAGTGATGTGTACATATTTAATAAATGGAAATGATATATCCGCAAATGAATACAAAATAAAGCTATAACGTTTATAGGTATTTTTAACTCTAACAATAGGAGTTTCAAATGTCAGAAATATGTCAGCAGGAGTTAAAAGTTGCCAATTTTTATTAGCGGTTCCTCGTAGTAGGATACTTGTAGAACTTAAGACATTCAGTTTGGTCTGAAGAGTATACAAAGGATTGTCGAGTAGCCAAAAGCGTGGGGTCATGTAAACAATGCTAAAAAATACCTTAGACTCATTACACAAGGAGCATAACGATTGTAAATAGACCCCGTACTTTTTATTATGTACAAGAAATGAAGACACTCATTCAAAAGATAGGTTAAGCATGAAGGATGGGAAATATCAGTGGCTCATATGACAAGGCGCATTATAGCATCAGGAAATGTTCAGATAATAACTGATAACCTTGTTCATTGTATGTTAAAGATGACATGAACCGAGCCATAGTTTAGAAAGCTGAATGTTTTATACATGCTAACCTGCCTGTTTTTTGTAATCGACATGGAAAATAAAATCTCAAACAAAGCGTATAAAAATATTGTTATGATTGCTTTACAGTTGAGCAGAGAGCAAGGTTTTGTGGTACGTTAGTATTCAATATTCATAACACTCGAAACCGATTTCAGTCGACGTTTTTGTTGATTTCATTTCAAATAAATCTGTTACGTTTTTAAGGAACACCGTGAACCATGTACCTTGCTTGAAAAAATATTAATAATGGTGTGGCATATACTTTTGTCCAGAAAACTTTATGCTTGTGACACTATTTTGGATGTTTAATCACAGCACTCTCAATTTATCATTGTGAATAATCCTAACTTGTAGATACGTAAATTAAGTAAGATTATAAAAATAGTTACCAAATATGATATTAAAGGTAAATTCAGTACAGCAGCTTACCTTAACTCAATTACTAGTTCACTGTCAAGTGGATAATTTTTGCGGTAAAATTCACTTTAAAAAGAAAAAATTCGGTTAAAATATTCTTACTGTAAATGTAAAAATGATTCTTGAAATTTCCTTCTTTCTATCAAATCCATGGCGCTACAAGTAAAATTTCCCCTATATTCATTAAAAAATTAATAAATAAATATAGAATCGCACTCTTCAGGGTAATATTTGGGTACTGGATGATGTCTACAGGGCCTATCAATATTTGTTGGAGGATCAAGAAAACGTGTGCGATAGTGTGGTCTTTTGGGTTTCTGTGTAACTTCGTCTGAATCTGAAAGACGATTAACATGATTTTCTAAGATGAATAAATAAGTGTTTACCTTCAGAGCTGTTATTCACTGTAGCAAACTGTACACGTGGTTTCGGAAGGTTTGATGAAGATAATGGTTCACAGTTAAATGAGTTAACTGCGTTCCGGCTCTCATACGACTCGCCATTCTCATTAGGGCTAAGCACTCGACTGTATTCTAGACTATTGCTTTTTCTGGGTTTTGAGAAAACGATGCTTTCTGTCCGGTACTTTCTTACTAGTTTTCTCAATCTTTCCAATTCTACCTCCAAAGCTGAAACTGTAAAAGCAAGTCAAAATTACCAACCTGATTTAATGTCATCCATCCCTGGTTTAGTTAAAATTGCTAAATATATTTGTAAAGCACCTCATCTATTTTAAAAGTGCTTCCGAGTTTGATGTAACAATGATCTATGTGTTTATTAAACTAAAACAAAATGTTTTTTTAAACTCATTTATCGCAAAGTCATAGGGCGCTTGTGCACTTGTAAACCTAGAACTTTCCCATACATATGAGTTTGTTGGAAGTCTCTTCAGCACATAGAAAAGTAAGTTTGGTACTGTTCTATAGAGATCTATGCTCTTTACTATCTTGATAGGTCCTCTTCTTCAGACATCTACTAACAGTTATGCTCAGTGAAAACGTAAAAGGACGTTTTTAATGTGAATTTAGTCCCCAACATATAATGCGATCGTCGCTCCAGTTCTAGAGAAGCCAACTTGGCGATTTACTAATACGATCAGAACTTACGAAGCCGTATGACGTGAATACATAGAGTGGATATTTGATTGAGGGAGATGTCAAAAGAAATCTTTTCACGTGAGTTATGTCTTACTGTGCAACTACAGCCGGTATATTTTATAAAAATTAAAGAGTACGAAGTGAGTTTCGGTGTACTTTTCGAAACACGTCCAATGAGCGGCAGCTTCTTCATGTATCACTGAGATGTGTACGGATAAGAGGAAAATAGCACCAGAATTATTCCATAATTCGCAACATATTCGTCCGGAATTAATGCTTTTTCAGCTTGAATTGTGAGTGGTAACTGAGGTATATTGATCAAGTCACCTCTTTAGGCTAAGACTTGAAGTTGAGAGTTTCTATAGTTTCAAATAAACAGGCTAAAGATAGTATTTTTTCTGCATTTTACTGAGACTGTATATTCCTTGCCTCCCAGCTATCACCACCTTGAAGTCGTCACGGATATTAGTAGTTTGACAACGACGTTGTTTGTAACGCAATTCGTATCGAGTAAACAGACAGCCATGTTAAACCAGAAGTCGATAATGATGAATATTTAAGGTATAATGGAATGATGGTTGGGATGTTGAGGAGTGAGTGCACAAGCTTTGTTAGTTAAGGATAGGAGATGAATGGCACGGCGTGCTTCCCGGTGAACTTGTGTGTGTGCATGAGTGAGTGTATTCAACTAGAGAGTATCCAGCATACCTAATTAGGCCAGTATCAGAATCTAAGATTTACAAAACTAATTGCTGTGGGGGTTTATTTTCCGATACGTTGTTCTTCCTCTCTTATTTTCGGAATAAACTATATAAAAACATATCGAAAGCATTAGAATCAGTTTGACCGGATGTGGATAAAGTGCGTGTGACAAAATAAAAGTTCGATAAACCTTATCACACTTGCTGTTACCAAAACAGCCGAATTGTACAGTTCAACATTTGTAAGTACAGCCAGAAGTACCTATGATTATTTGGAACCCTTACCAGTTACACAGGTTCTATAGAAATGTTTGTCAGTTTGTTATTTCAATTAAAATTACTTTCCCTTTCAGATCGATCTATCGTGAAATAATACCTATGAAGTGACCAGAGACAGTGAAATAAGGTAGTCGGTGTTCGATGAAAGAGAGTAGATAACTGAACGTCATTTTATAAAGACCTTATTATCATAAAAGACTAAATAGCATGGATATGAGAGCTCGACAGTTGTCAGTCTTATCTTGGTTTGTCAAATGTAGTATATTTACAAAGTCATGAAGTTCTCGAAAATTAGAAGCAAATTTATCTGATTTTCTCTTCTTTGGATTACTAGCAAGCATTACTGAGTTAGGCTTCCTACTCTCTGATGAAGAAACCTCATGAATAAGTACTGTTTGAATGAAATGCCCTTGGAACGAAGCACCCTAAATGTCACAGAGATGCCTAAGTGGAGAGCGTGATAGTGAAATACTTTGGCGATCGAGTCGAGAATGGCTATGATCGCCAATAAATACCAATTACGAGCCCGTCACTGAGAAGATAAACAAAGAATATATTTGCTGGCTATTTCGTGGTGTCGAAAGAAAATCTAAATCGAACCAGAAAACAGGGCGAAATTACAGAGCTAATGGAGTAAAGAATGGCATCAGCGTAAAGAGTGTTAAAAACAAAAAGTACCGTTAAAAAATCACTGGAACAACTAGTTATAATAATGAATGTTTCTATCGAAGCAGTCGCGCGCTCTTCATAAAATTATTCCACTACAATACTCTAGGAAATACGTGTAGGATGAGGCACCGGTGATGTTCACTATTAGTTTCATGCATCTACCGTAGTTAAAGGGACAAATATTTGTGACGGTCCAGCAGGGTGATATATATCAGTAACGTTGTCAAGTTGATTAACTATTTCTTTACAGAGAGTATGAGAGTCTGAATTTGACGTGCCCTCGCTGACTCTCTTCCATTTACGGAAAACAATACACTTTCGGGATACTTTATCACCTCCGAAGCTATAAAAAGTTGTCTCCATTCATTGGTTGACAATCTGAAAACCTTTTCGGTCAAACGGAACCATTCCAAGCCAGAACCATCATGCAGTAGGTCTATCTGCCTCGGTAGCATACGTACATCCACTCACTCACAAACACAGGACTTGTGGACAAGTTACTGGATACACGCAAAGTTACTTACTAATACGGTCAAAGGTAAAGTTGCAATTTTGGAGTACTTTCAGGCTCTATTCCTTGTAGTTTTATCATATGCTACTAAATTTCTTCTTTCCTAAATCCTTTTTTTGCATCTCGTATTCTAATTATCTCGGTCTTCACCTCCTAATCTCCCTGGTATCATGTCAAGTAATAAGGTCGCTAGTACACATTACACTATAACAACCAGGAAAACTTGTAGAGGCATAAACCCCGGGGTCGATAGTGTGTCGAAAATCCCAATATCGTGCGAACGGGTTGTTAAAAAACACAAATAGTCAGTCGATAGTACGCCTCTCGGTGTCCATACTTTAGATCACTCAATGCCAACACCACAGAGGAAGCAAGACACCACTCCTATTACTAAAAAGACCAGTAAGCTAGTTAAGAATAGGAGAAAATGACGCTCCAAGGCTCAGTCGACACAGTCCAACGCCCACAAATAGCATAAGGATGACTGTTTTGCCTGCTCATTACCAGTGAAAATCAGCGACCGTGCTTTCGAATGCAACTTTTGTAGTACATGGGTACATTGTCACTGCGACACTACAGTACCTAAAGAGTACTACGGATTCATCCTGAGTCACCCCTGACCATAGTTTTGGTACGTTTGCCCTCGGTGTATAGTTTCTGAGGCACTGACAAAGCCACAGGTCCCACCCAAAATCAGTCCTAAAGTCCAAACCACCAAAGCAAAATCGCCTGGCACTAAACCAGTAAAAAAAGTGACCAAGGCTACCACAACTCTGCCAAACACACTGACAAAACCGCCGCGTGTTGTAAACCCCCCAGTACCTGCTAGAAAAAAAAACAGTGGGTGAACGTGAAGAAGGGAAATAGCAACACCCCAACTCACAAGCGGCTACCACCCAAGAACAGGGACGACAGATCAAACTCACCTATTTTATTTAATGTCCCAGTTTCAGAAGAAAGCTTGCTAGAAGGTAGGTCTGCCTTCAACAAAGAGAATTGGGATAAACACTGCACAACACTCGGAATGTGCGACGTTCCAGCGAAAATATGCCGCCTTTTCAAAGGCCAAAATGTCTCGAAAGGCAAACCACCTCCGGTGAGGGTAACTCTTGACTCGACACGACTTACTGAAGACATCATCCTTTCATTCCAAAGACCATCAGTCAAATTGTCCTCACCGATTCATATCAGGCATGACAAGCCATGGTCGGTACGTGCGGCAGCCAGAACTGCGCCAGGCACCCAAGAACAGACCACCGTGGAAGTTCACGGTTTACCCAAACTCACTGGCGATAACCCGGACGAAGCTAACGAGCACGATGTGCAACAGTGGCGATGGTTATCACGTGGCCTATCCCTCCACACGATGGCAGTTTGCATTTCCAGGTTGCCCTGCCCGTCACACCTTACGTCTATCAAGTCACTACGCCTGATGTCTGTGACAATTAGGAACCGGGAAGACCTGACTGAAGCACTCCAAGCTTGGTACAGTTCGGGGAACGCTCTGTCTAGCCACATCAGGCGTTGCTAGAGCCGACCTTGATCTGTGACACAACAGCAGGAAGGCCAAAATAAACGCAGAAAACTGATAGTTAACCTCGGTCAACTACCACGGGCACCAGACATGATTGAACCAACCGCGCAGGCGAAAAACCCGCGGAGACCAGTTTCCACAGAACTGGCCAATTCGGTTTCAATAACTCGTCTGAAAATCCGACAACGGCTGCTGCTGCAGAAGTGCACCAGGTGCTGAGACAAACCACCAAGTGCTTCTATAGCAACGTCAGAGGACTAAGGGGTAAGAATCGGGAATATGTGCTCTCAGATTGATCTGAAGATCATGATCCCAACTGAAATATGGGTATCCCCTGACACTGCAGTTGCAGAAATGAGCTGGCCAGGCATGACACTCTTCCGAAGCGATTGGGAATACCAAACTGGAGGTGGAGTGGCGATATATATATATATATATATATATATATATATATATATATATGGCCACTTAAAGCAGAGCGACTATACGACACCCAACTAATCGAGGTGACAGAATCATGTTGATGTTGTTTCCACTCGACTGGCACGAAATACTTGATTGGAGGCATCTACCGACCTCCTTTGGGTACTAAGGCCCAGAAAAGCAAACTGATTGAGATAATACTGCGACTGCCACTCCTGAGGTTTGATCAAATACTCATAGCTGGAGATTTCAATACCCCATCTTTAAATCTCAGCAATCAGAGTATAACTCTCACTGGTTGGTTCCAAAGACAACATGGTATAGCCATTAGAATCCCTGGGCTGACTGAGCACGTATGCAGTGCCACTAGGTTGACTAAGGAAGGGAATTCCTTAAACCTAGATTATCTGTTAACCAATGACCAGCTCCTGGTTGAGGATGTTCACGTTCGCGCACCTAATAGGTAGTAGTGACCACGGCACAGTCTTGTCTAACATGGTCATAAACGAAACACTCACACGGGACGATAACGTGCCTCA